TTGGTGAAGAATACTGAATATACCATGGACTACCAGAAGAACTAACAAATCTGTCTGGGAAGAAATATAGCCAGAATGCTCCTTAGAAGTGAACACGGTGAGACTTGTTCTCACGTACTTTGGACATGTTATCAGGAGGGACCAGTCCCTGGAGGAGGACATCATGCTTGGTAAAGTAGGGGGTCAGTGAAGAGGAGGAAGACCCCCAGTGAGATGGACTGACATAGTGGCTGCAACAATGGGCTCAAACATAGTAAAAATTGTGAGGATGGCACAGGACTGGGCAGTATTTCACTCTGTTCACACAGGGTCACCATGAGTTGGAATTGAGTTGATGGCACCTAACAATAACAACAAGAAAGTTAGATTTATTCCTAAGTATTCTATCTTCTGAAGGTCTACTGTAAATGGTATTGTTTTCCTGATTTCCTTTATGGAATTTACTTTGCTAGTGTAGAGGAATCCAACTGGTTTTTGCATGTTGATCTTGTACCCCGCCACTTTGCTGAATTCTTCTATTTGTTCCAGTTACTTTCTTGTGGAGTCTCTGGGATTTTCTATGTATAGGATCATGTCATTTGCAAGTTGGGATACTTTTACCTCTTCCTTACCAATCTGGATGCCTTTTATTTCCCTTTCTTACGTTATTGCTATAGCCAGGACTTCCAGTACAATACTGAACAAGAGCAGTGATAAAGGGCATCCATGATGTCTGGTCCCCATTCTCAAGGAAAATGCTTTCAGTCTCTCTCCACGGAGAATATTGTTGGCTGTTGGTTTTGTATTTATATCCTTAATTATGTTGAGAATTTTCCTTCTATACCTATTTTGGTGACAGTTTTTATCAGGAGAGGACGTTGGATTTTATCAAATGCCTTTTCTGAATCAATTGAGATGATCATGTGATTCTTTTCCTTTGTTTCATTTATGGATAATGTTCTATATCCTAATGAGGTGTGTAGCGTCTAGGGTCTTAAAAGCTTTCTACTGACCATCTAAGACACAACTAATGGTCTCCTGCTGTCCCATCTGGAACAAAGGAGAGTGAAGAAAATCAAAGACTCAAGAAAGCAATTAGTCCAAGGAGTAATGGCCACATCAACCTCTAGCCTGAGACCAGAAGAACCAGATGGTGCCTCATTAACACTACTGACTGCTCTGACCAGTAACACAATAGCAGGTCCCGGTTAGAGCGGGAGATAAATGTAGAAAAAAATTCAAATTCACAAAAAAGACCAGATTTACTAGTCTGAAAGTGACTGGAGAAACCTCAGAGACTATAGCTCTAGACACACTTCCAATGTGGAACTGAAGCCATTCCTGGAGATCACCTTTCAGCCAAGTAACAGACAGGCCCAAAAGGTAGACAGTGATACCCATGAGGAATATATATCATCTATATGAGACCAAGGGGGCACCATTTGCCCCAAACCAAAGATGAGAAGGAAAGGAAGGGGCAGGGAAACTAAACGAATGGAAAATGGGGAACCCAAAGTGGAAACGGGGAGAATGACGGCACATTGTGGGGACTGTGGACAAAGTCATGGAGCAATGTGTATACAAACTATTGAATGGGAAACTAATTTGGTATGTAAATTTTCACCTAAAGCACAATAAAACGTTTTAAAAAAAAATACAAAAAGAATTTAACGTTTAAAAAAACATAAAAACCATACAAGAGCAGTCTGATATCTAACTAGTAAATAATGAAAAGAAATTCCAAGTCTTGAAACCTGTAATTTTTTTTAAATAGTATTTTATTCTGTTTTCAGTGAAAGTTATACAACAAATTATGTTTCCATTTAACAATTTCTACACAAAGTGTTCAGTGACATTGATTACATTTTTCACAACGTGTCAACATTCTTATTAATTCCATTATGGTTGTTCCATTTCCGGTAATCTAGTTTCCCTGCCCCCTTACCTTCTCATTTTTGCTTTAAGAGTAATTATTAAACAGAACAACCAGAACGGAAATAATGAGAATGCTGACACACTGTGCAAAGTGTAACCAATGTCAACGAATAATATGTGCAGAAACTGTTAAATGAGAAGCTAATTTGCTATGTAAATATTCTCCAAAATCACAATAAAATATTTAAAAACAATACAGGGCAATTTGTCATGGATTGAATTGTGTCTCCCCAAAATATCTGTCAACTCGGCTAGGTCATGATTCCTAGTATTGTGTGACTGTCTACCTTTTGTCATCTGATGTGATTTCCCTATGTGTTGTATATTCTATCACTATGATGTAAAAAGATGGATTACTGGCAGTTATATTGATGAGATCTACAAGAGCTGATAGTGTCTTAAGCCAAACTCTTTTGAGAGACAAGAGAAGCGAGCAGAGAGACACGGGGACCTCATACCACCAAGAAAGCAGTGCTGGGAGCAGAGCGTATCCTTTCGACTTGAGGTTCCTGTGCTGAGATACTCCCAGACCAAGGGAAGACTGATGCATCACAAGGACCTTCCTCCAGAGCCGACAGAGAGAGAAAGCCTTCCCCTGGAGCTGACACCTTGAATTTGAACTTGTAGCCTACTAGACTATGAGAGAATAAACTTCTCTTTGTTAAAAGCCATTCCCTTGTGGTATTTCTGTTATAGCAGCGCTAGATGACTAAGACAGCAATTGTTGACCATCTGGTTTCCTACAGATGATTTTCTTTAAAGGAGTGCAGTATACTTGGGTGTTATTGTTTATTTTACGGGCCAAGATCTGTCAGTTAGCTGAAGGGTGATCTCAGGGCGTAAGTTTGGTCCAAGGTTAGTTTCAGGGCATCCTCTAGTCTTAACCAGTCCAGTAAGTCTGGATCTTTTAACAATTTGAGTTCTGTTCCACATTTGCATCCAATTCTATCAAGATCCATTTATTGTTGCCCTGATCAGAATGGTTCATGGTGGTCACAGGTTAGATGAGTCTGCGGTTCATGTGGACTATTAGTCCTGTAGACTAATTTCTTCTCTGAGTCTTTGGTTTCTTTCTCTTTTGCTCTGGATGAGTAGTATAGACAGGTTCTAAATGTTAACTTTGGAAAATTATTTCCACTTGGGAGCCTGAAATTTTAAAGCCAATTTTCAAAGCAGAAAGCTGTAAAGCACTACTTGTTCACTTAATTTTTATATTATTTGATGTGCTTGTACATTACTTTCAACAATTACTGGATTCAGCTTCTAAATCAAGGTAGTTTCATGATTTCTTCACTACTTTTTACAAATAGAAATCATGTACCAGTCTTTATGTGAAGAAAAAATCTCTTTAAGACTCTAAAGTCCTACGAGTAGCGCCTGTGTTACAGAATAGGTAAAGTAACAGGAAACAGGAGGCTGGAGAGGATGTTGCTACAATGTTTTCTGGAATCAGAGGGTCCTAGGTTTGAAATTCAGTTCTTACCACATCCCAGCTAAATAACCTTGTACAAGCTGCTTCTTTCACTCATTCAGCAAATATTTAGTACATGTCTATGTGTCAGACATTGTTCTAGGTACCAGAAATAGAACAGTGACTAAAACAGGCCAACTCTTTGCTCTCATGGAGCATACCCTTTACTTACTTCATGTTTTTAAGCCTAAGTTTCCACCTCTGTAACATCATATAGCCAACTACATAGGAAGTTAATTACACAGATTAAATAAGATAATGCACGTAAATAATTTCTCATGGATACATTGTGAATAATGCATGTTAGCAAAGCCAGTGGCGCTGGGTAAACAATAAATGTGATCATGTAAAACACATCATTTGCTTCTCATCATGTTAATCATATTTCCAAATGTCAGTCTCTGTATCAGAGTCAGATGTGAAGGAGAGGGGGTGATGCAGGAGGAAAGAAGTAAAAAGAAAGGTTGTAGGGTAAGCACAACCTTACCTTCTCTTCAACACCTCCCTCTTCTCTATGCGGTTGAACAGTTCCTGCTCTCTCTCCTTCTCTGTCATCTGTTCCAGACGGGCCCTGTCTTCCTCATCTCCCATGAGGTCCTCTCCATAGCCATCATGGAACTCCTCATCTTCTGAGGAAGAGTCTGAATCTGAGCTGGAGGAGGAGCTGTTGCTGTCAGAATCTGACACTTCACCTGCAACAAAGGCCCAAAGACGAGATTAGGTGACGCTGTAGAAGACTGAGGACACCAGTGACCCCAAGGGTTGTGATCATCACTCCTTGCCCTTCCAGGTAAAGTGGTACATGCTCACCTCAACTCCCTTGGGACTAGTCCTCCGTCTGCTTTTGGTAAATGCAAACACAAGTTAGGGAAGTTTAGGTTGGAACCAGACACCAATTTGTTCTTTATAATTCAACTTTTTATTTTGAAAAATTTCAGGCCTATAGAAAAAATTGCAAGAATATTTTGACTCCCGTACATTCTTTACTTAGCTTCACCCACTGTTAACATCGCCGATTTATTTTCTCTGTCTACGTATATAAAATCATGTATACATTCTTATTTATTCTGCTGAACCAATTAAGAGTAAGTAGCGGAGATCATGACCCTTCACCACTAAATACTTATCCTAAAAAGGACATTTTCTTATATCACTAATCATATAATTATCAAATTCAGGAAATTTAACATTGATACAATACCATTATCTAACACATAGCCCAGATTCAAACTTTACAATTGTTTCGACACTACTGTGCTTACAGCCCCTCTCCCCGTATCCAGTATCCAATCTAGGGTCACATACTGCATTTAGCTGCCATGTCTCTCTAGTATCCTTCAGTCTGGAACAGCCTTTCTTTGTCTTTCACGTCACTAAAATCTTTAAGCGTGTAGGTCCACTGTTTTATAGAACAGCACTGTCCAATCAAATTTTCTGTAGTGATGATGAAAATAATTCTCTATCTGATATGTTCAATACAATATCGACCAACCACGTGGCTGCTAAGCCCTTGAAATGTGGCTAGTGCCAACTGAGGAACTGAATTTTTAATTAATTTAAGTTAAATAGCCACAGTTATCAAATGTCTCCCATGTGGGTTGGTTGGTCTGTTTCGTCATGAAACGATTCAGGTCATGCATTTTTGGCAAGAATACTAAGTAAGTGATTGTGTCCTTTTCAATGTATCACATCAGGAAGCACCTGACGTTTGTTTGTCCCATCACTGATGATGTTAATTTGGATCGATTGATCAATGAATCATAGTTAATAGTTAGTCAGTTAACTATGGGAAGATGCTTTGAGACTGTGTAAACACCCTATTCCCTAATAAACTCTCACCCAGTTTAACACTCAATGAGGTTCTAACACGCAATGATGATTCATGAATAAATCAATTATTGCTATGATGTTGAAAAATGGTGAGTCATTAAACCGATCGTTGAATTCCCAGTGACACTGGATCACGACAGGACGAAGGGTAGCATGGAAAAAGACAGTATATGTTATTAATGAGTATGAAGTTAGACAGCAATTTAACAAGAACTGTGCTTGATTCCATTTGAGCGAACATTCATGGAGGCATGTGCTTAAAACCAATTCTGTACGAGTCAGTTTGTAATAAATATTATTTTTCAAGGAAATTTAAAGTTTATCATTCTAGTCCTGGAACAAGTTCACTTTTCAAACTAGCGTTAACAAAAGATTCTGGAATTGGTTTCAAAAAAATAACATTTTCTATTGTGTTTTATATCTGGCTCAAGAATTTCCCTTCTCAGCCAGACCATGCATAACCAAGAAAAGGAGAAGAGAAAGCACTTGGCTAACAGGCTGGTCAGGATAAAGGGAGCTGAGACTCCAACGCTGTAGAAGAACTCCTCATGGGTTCCATGGCTGGGCTTCAGGGGTCTCACCAACTCCTCAGAACTGCAGGCATCTTTCTTGCTTTATTCAGACTCTGCAAGGGTCCATGACCACTAAAAAGGTTACAGAGTATTGCTAAAAGCAGGAGCCATTCCCTAATGTATGCACCTTTCTTCCCCATTTCTGACTCCGCATCTTCAACCTGACAAGAGTGGGAATTCACCACCTGGCTCTGGGCTGCCCACTCACCTTCCTCAGGGGCCGAGCTCTCAGCTGAACTGTCTTTGTCCGAACTGCCTGAGGAGGCAGTTTTGTTGGCCTGTTTCTTCATGGTTCCTTTCTTTTCTATTTTTCTGGCTTTTCCTTTCTTCTTATTTTTATTGCTCCCAAACGTCCACTATAAGGAGGAAAAGAAAAAAAAAAAAAAGGAAAACTGAAAAAGGAGAAGAAATTTAATTGGAGAAAACTGAAAGATGCAAGTTAAAAGTTTCTGAAGTTTATCAAAATGATTGTAAGAATTCCTATTGCTTTGAACCCCAAAAGAAAAATACACTTTATATGGAGAATAATGCAGATTTTTGAGAGCTTGGTTAAAACTCTGTCACTTCTGGTTTCTTACTCTCTGGTTTCTTAGAGATAGTAGATAGTTATATAACAAACATACAATTTATGTAATATACTTTTTATTGCAACAGCAAAACAAAGATTATCAGCTTTATGGCAAGTCAACTGAGTTAACTAAAACTCAGCTGGTAGAGAAGCCAGCTTCTAATGATTTCCATGGCAGAAAGATCCATAATTGCTAAAGGTTGGTAAGTCAGGGTTTCAGTACACAGACAATAGTTTAGTTCTGGAGTGGGTCTCAGGAAGACAGGGTACAAAGCTTGTTCCCAGGAGAAAAATGCAGAAAAGCACAAGGAGAAGGGATAAGCGCCACTCTTTGGCATGGACGGTAGCATGGCATGAACTCCAAGGAGGCAGAAAGCAAAGTTAAACAGATCACTAAATATATCTAAATATATGTGTGCGTCTATCTTTTTTTTTTAAACTCTATATACATTATACTGTAACATAATAGATAAATAGAATCATAAAGAATAGATCTCATATGTGTAAACACAAAAAACTTGCAATTTAGGCAAGCAAATACAGTTAACCACCCAAGGTAAAAAAAAATCATCTTCATCAAGCATTCTAAGGCCAAAAGACCATACAATTGTTTCTTTAAAGTACACAAAGGCTATTTCATTACATTAAATCTTTGGTATTTTAACTTGTCAATTTGGGAGAATAATTTTAGGTGAAAAATACTTTACTTAGGAATTTTATTCTATGTACTATACGGAACAATCTTCACCTTACCAGTATGAAAGACTGAATTAAAAATCTGGTACTAACATAAAATTTCTGTATCTCCTATTTAACAAAATTATAAAGTCTTTGCTCCTTCTATAATAGGACAATAAATTAACCCTCTACCTCACAATGGCTAAGATCGTAAGCAAACTTATTTTTGGTCTTGTAGTTGTGAAGAACTTTCCACCTTAGATACTTCCCATCTGAGCTATTTTGGAAGAACTACAATCTGCTAGTTTACCTTGATAGAATAATGCTGTTTTAATCTTCTGGTTTTCATTTTAATTTACTATTGGTTATTTCAATTGCTACTTTATTTTTGTACTCAAGGGCTAAGTAGAAGGGAAAAGTGAAAATAAAACAGCTACATGTTCCATAAATTAATTAAATGAACGGTGACTTGTCTTTATGAATTTACTTGTCAAACTTTAACATTTCAACATCTAAATCATTATCAAAATAGAAATCCTAATGCTTCTTTTCTAAAGCTGAGTTTTCAACCATTTTAAGTTTTAATCATTCAAGGAAGATAATTTTTCAGGCCAGCTGAAAGAAATCCAAAAAGAGACCAAAGTGTTCAATTTCTTAGTTAACAGAGATGCAGCGTGATAGATCGTTTTTATGTGGCCTTTCTCGCCATGGTCTTGTAATCCCACCCAAATGACTGGGCGGGACTCTGTGATAGGGTAATTGTGGCCCACAAAATGGATTGGTCAGTGTTGCCATCCTGCTGGGCTTGAAATGAGCCACCCCAGAGGTGGGAAAGAGAAGATAAGATTCCACCACCACCAAGGAAGAACACCCAGGAGCGAGAACATCCTTTGGATCTCTGTGTTGAGAAGCTCCTGCAAGCAGGAGACCAAGAGAGAGAGAGCTGTAACCCTGAAGATGGTAAGAAGCTGTGGCAGGAGAGATGTGGCAGCAGGAGACAGCATGGTGGGCTTCCTGGCTCAGAGAGAGGAAGATGAGTGTCTCTGGGTAGAGAGGCCTAGAGCTGGGGAGAGGCATACCTGAGAGCTCGGCTGGAAAGAGGCTGTCCTGATGGAAGACCTGTATCCTGTGTGCTTCTGAGTCTGCACTGTAACTGTTACTTCCCTAATAAACCCCATAATCATGGGAGTTCTGAGTGGCCACTGCAATGAATTACTGAACCCAGCAGAGAAGTAGAGAGTGCTGTGGGAGGGACGGTTGGTGTCAGAATTGGTAAAGATGGCGGAGAGAGCAGGCGTGTCTGACCTCCACATCACAGGAATCAGCCTTGGGCTGATCTTGATTTTCCTCTCCCCTTGTGAAGTTAGAGGAGGTCAGACAGCACTCCCATGCTGTTTTACAAAAGCTAAAATATATTAACTTTCTGTGCCAACAGTACAGATATTACAAAAGTCAATAATGTATAAAACATCTTCTGCATTGGCTCTTATTACAAGAAACAGCACCACTACAGATAATTTTCACTATACTTACTCAATCTGTATGCTGAGCAAATAATCCGAGAAGCTGGACTATATGAAGAAGAATGCAGCATCAGGATTGGAGGAAGACTTCATTAACAGCCTGCCAATATGCAGATGACACAACCTTGCTTGCTGAAAGTGAAGAGGACTTGAAGCACTTACTGATGAAGATCAAAGACTATAGCCTTCAGTATGGATTACACCTCAACATAAAGAAAACAAAAATCCTCACAACAGGACCAATAAGGAACAGCATGATAAATGGAGAAAATATTGAAGTTGTCAAGGATTTCATTTTACTTGGATCCACAATCAACATCCGTGGAAGGAGCGGTCACGAAATCAAATGACGTATTGCATTAGGCAAATCTGTTGCAAAAGACCTCTATAAAGTTTTGAAAAGCAAAGATGTCACTTTGAGGACTAAGGTGCGCCTGACCCAAGCCATGGTATTTTCAATCGCCTCATATGCATGCGAAAGCTGGACAATGAATAAGGAAGACCAAAGAAGAACTGATGCCTTTGAATTAAGGTGTTGGCGAAGAATATTGAATATACCATGGACTGCAGGAAGAACGAACAAATCTGTCTTGGAAAAAGTACAGCCAGAATGCTCCTTAGAAGTGAACATGGAGAGACTTGTCTCACGTACTTTGGACATGTTATCAGGAGGGACCAGTCCCTGGAGGAGGACATCATGCTTGGTAAAGTAGAGGGTCAGCGAAGAGGAGGAAGACCCCCAATGAGATGGACTGACATAGTGGCTGCAACAATGGGCTCAAACATAGCAATGATTGTGAGGATGGTGCAGGACCAGGCAGTGTTTCATTCTGCTGTACACAGGATCACTATGAGTTGGAACCAACTCAACAGCACCTAACACACATATAATAGATATTCAACATTTATTTGTTGGTTGTCAAAGTGGGCATGACCTACCTTTTCCAAACAGTCTCTTGGCCCTCTGAACCCAATGGGAATATAAAGAGACTGACAGCATAAAAAGTGATCTATCAGGGTCACATGTGTGTCAGAGTGGCAAGGTTGACTTTTGCCGACAGATTTCGGTTTCTCATGTGCAATAGAACCAAACTCTAAACTTCCTAGAAAAAAAAATGTTTATGAAAGCAAAAAAGACCCAAATGTGAAAGCACAAACACAGTCCAGCTTGAGGTGCTACAAAGTTAGGTAACTTCCTTATCCTTACACCCTTCATCTGCTTCTATCTGCTATAGCCCGAGCTTGGCTCAGCTATCACTCATTTATAGTCTATGATGTTTAACACTAGGGGGAGAAGGAAGAAAGGAAAGGGTAAAAATAGAAGAAAATAAAATGCTGTTATTTAAAAGGGGCTTTCCTGGCTAAACCTGAGTGTGGAAGGGGAACCTCATTTCTTTTCTTCTAACACTTTTCAAAAGAAAATGAGGCAACAAAACGGTACTACTGTCTTACCTTCCATGAGGCCAACTCAGCAGGGTCTGTTATGCCAAAGGCAAGCAACGGCTCACTGTATGTACTGAGCTTTAGAGTAATTATAATAATGCAGGTGGCTTTACTTTTGAAAATCAAATTTCTTATAAACACACCTTTCAGCATATAGAAGCTGGATTACAGCTACGTGTTTATTTATTCTCTAAAAATGTATCTTGTTGTTAATAAACATAATATATAATTTTAAGAATATATATTCATTATATGAAGCTTTGAAAATATAGAGAAGTATTTTTAAAGTAAACAAAAAAAAAAAAATCACCTGTATTTCCCCCAGAGATAAATAATCACTTAAAATTTGGGAGCCAGACTCATTATTCCGGTTTAATACAGAGAAAGAGACTTAAATGGCTCCTAATAATCTCTGAAAGATTTTTCTCCCCTGGAAGACAGATCACATTTGTAATATTTTATATTTACTCCTGTAAAAGAGGTTTCTAAATGCCTTTTGGTCTGAGCACATATTTTAAATACTTTCCCAGTACCTCTTCATCCAAGACACAGAGTGAAGTATACCATAGAGAAGGTGGTTAAGGCTGTGGCAGGCAGAATTGATATGGAAATATCTTAACCCACATCTTAGCCCAGAGACTGCTCGCCTATCCCGGTAAGAGTCTTATTCTGTCGACTCTGAGACAGAGGGAAGAAAATGTATTCCCTTCTCACTGCCAGAGTGTGGTACTAAATGGAATCTGAAGAACAAAGGACAGGATTAGACGGATGCTCTTATCCTTCTCTATCCAGGAGGGAGTAGAGGAAATGGTCTGGCATTTCTTAATTTGTTTTGGGAACTACGTACGGCTCTACAGAAAGGCAAGTTCTGTTGTGACCTTAAAGTGCCCTAAAATGCACCACACATAAAGCAAGACTGAGAAAATCAGAGCCTAGTGATCTGCATCTGAACTCTGAATACAGAGGCCAGTACGTCCCCCAGTGAGAGCTGCTCAAAACCCAGCTGGGAAAGGGAAAGAATCCATTGCCGGTCAAGACTCTCTGCAGGCCCACCCACAACACAGGGAAAAAACTACTTATGCATGCACTGAAGAAAACCTAAAACAGAGAGTGGAAGGAAGATGTCTTCTTAACTGATAAAAGA